ATATAGCGAACTCTTGATATAACGAATTTTTTGAACAAATATAATAAAAATACTCTTGTTATAACGAATTGGCCAATTAAATCTCTTAATATCTTTACTATAGCCTTATAGTGAAATTGAGGTCTAGGACATAGAGTTTTTTATAACAAGAGTTAACTTTATATAAATTTAAATATCAAAAATATTTAAATAATTTATTTTAAATAAATATAATTATAGATATGAAACTTTTAAAATTAAAAAATTTTTATAATAATTTGAAAATATAATTAATGATATTAGATGAAACTGAAATATTTAATTATATAACGAAACTAAAACTATTTAGTCTTTAATAATTAAAATGCCGAAATGCTGAAACTTTATTTCTATAGATTTTTTATAGATATTTTATAAATTTTTCATAGATTTTAACTCACAATTTTTAATAATATTTTATTTTCTATAAAATCTAGAAATTTAAAATTTTTGTAAATAAAATATTATTTATTATATTTGATTTACTATATGGAAAATTTAATAAAAAAATTGAGTTCAAAAAAATTTTTTAACAAAATTTTAATTTTTATTGCATTTTAGTTTTTAATATTATTAAATTAAATGTAATAAGATCTTAATTTAATCAAAAAATTTTCAGAGCCTAATTTTTCTAGCAAACTTTTCATATAAATAATTTATATCTATAATATTAATTAGTAATATTTTTTGATTATATATTTAATTAATATAAATAATAAAAGATTTAAGTTAAAATTAATAAATAATATATTCTTTAATAAAGATAAATAAATAAAAATTTATAATTATATATTATAAAGCAATTTAGTCATTTAGTCATTTGTTAAAAGTTTAGTCAAAATTTAAAACTTAGTCAAGAGTTTAGACTTTAGTTAAGGATTTAGTCAAACAAAATTTGACAAAAGTTTATTCATAATAAAATAATTTAGATAGGCATTACTAAATATAATCAATTTAATTAGTTTAATATTACTATTTAAAATTTTTTTTAATTTAATATATATTATTTATTTATATCAAAATAAAATTTTAAATATCTTAAATTTTCAAATAACATATAAATAGATTATAATAAAGAATTAATAATTAAATCAAATGATAATATTAATTATAATCCTTATATTTTTTTTATTATCTACTTTATTTATTTAATAAATATATAATAGTTATCAAAAAAATGTATCACCTAAATTTTTAGTATTTAATGATTTATCTCCTTAAATATAAATTTTAAAATAGTAATTCTTATACTTATTTTAATTATTAAGATTCTAAAAATATAGAATATTAATTATTTAACATAAATAATTTCTTAGATTTTAAGTAAACTAATAATTAATATTTATAACTAGTATTTAATAAAATTTTAATTATAAATAAAATATTTTTTAAAGTAACTATGATAAAACTAATTTAAAAGTTAGTTAATTTACTTTAAGAGAGTCTAAATGCAAAATTTCATAAAGATTAAATTACTGATTGTAGATAAATTAACTTTTAAAGACCATTAATTTACATATAAAAATTTAAAAAAACATATTTTATTATGTAAATTAATAATTTTAATAATTAATTTCTCTATAACCAGTGATCTAATCTTAATAAAATTTTATATATATATTTTTTCAAAGTAAATTAATTATTTTAGAGCTGATTTTATCACAGCTTTTCTAAATTTACAATTAAAATTTTACTAAGTGCTAGTTATAAAAGTTAATCATCAGTTTACTTTTTTTTTTAAAGTATGATAGTATAGCTATATAAATTATCAGTTTATTCAAAATTTAAGAGATTATTTATATTAAATGATTAATAATCTATATTTTTAAAATCTCAAATATTAAAATAAGTATAAAAATTATTATTCTAAAATTCATATTTAAGGAAATAAATTATTAAAATACTAAAAATTCAGATGATACATTTCTTTTGATTACTATAGAATTTTAAAAATCTCTATATAATTTAAATTAGTATTTGCATAAAATTTATATATAAATTTTAGCTAGAATTGAGAGTTTTAAATTTTGTTATTCTATATATTTCAGTTGTTAAGCTAACTAGTAATTAAATTTTAATGATTTTAAATTTATTAGAATCATCTCAATGAGAAAAATTTAATAGTAGTAAATTATATTTCTAATATTAATACTAATTAAGTTATTATAAAAAACACATTTTATTATATATTATTTGTGAATTAAAAAGAAATATTCAGAGATTTATCATTAATATATTAATAATATAAAATATACTACTCTATTAATCAATTATTTAATTATTTAAATTTTATATTTAAATGAATATCTTTAAATATTTATTTTCAAATTACAAAATATAAAATAAGTTATTATTTTATTTATTTATATAAATACAAAAATATATTTAAATATTTAGTTTAAATATTGTCTAAGTTAAATTTTAATAGTATACTTTATTATAAATTATAAAATATATATATTATTTAATTTGCATATAAAATGAAATAAAAATTCTTTGAAAAATAAGGTTAAATATTGTAATAATCTAAATTTTTTACTAATATAAAATAAATTAGAGTTATAAATCATTAATAATCTATAGATACAAAATAAATATATAATTTTTAGTATTAATATTTAAAGTTGTATTTAAAATAATAAAAAATAAATTATAAATAATTTTAATTATTATAATTTTAAACTTATAACTATAGAAAACATTAGTATAAATATTGAGATTTATAACTGTTTATTTTTAAAATCTAAAAAAGTAAAGATAATAATTGATCAGCATTATATTATTTTAAAAATATCTTTTATATAATAATATATATTCTAATTTGTTAAGATAATATACATAATTCATGATACTTATAAATTAAATTTAATTAAATATGAAAAATAATATTGTTAAAATAACTAAAATTTTATTTAAGACTTTATTAATAATAATTTTGTTAAAAAAAAAAAATTAGAAATTAGTAAAATTAAAATTATTAAAAATTTCAAAAATTTACTATTAGAATAGCTAGTAAAAAAAACGAGTACAGTTAATATATTTGTATATATTCTATTAAAGTTAATATTAAAATTTTAATATTTTTATTATAAATAAAAATTTATTATAATATAATTTTATTTATAAATAAGAAATAATTTTCTAATAAATAGTTATAAAAAATTTATTGAAATTAAAAGCTTAGTTTCTATTTTTAATTATAATATAGATTTAATATAAATATTTATTTTATATTCTACTATATATAAATTTTGAATCCTAAAATTTTAATAATATAAATATTTATATTTATTCAATTTATTTATATAGATTTTTAATTAACTTTTTTTTCCGATTTATGTAACTTTTTGTACTCTTGTACTTGTGAATTTTTTCAATATACGTAAACTGGGTGGGGGCGGATTTTGCGCCATTAGACTTGCACTTTCTAAATTTGGCTAGGTAGCATCAGATGATCGGCGTTTTAGAAGTTGCAGTAACGCCCGTAAAAGTCCGAGAAAAAGAGTCCGCGACCAATCAAAATATGTAAAAAAATTTTTTGATATTCTTTGCTGGACAAGGCCATTGATCTCGTTTCATGGTTACACATACCTCACGCAAGATATAATAGCTCGTGCAAAAAAAACAATTTCCTCTTTATTGGAAGTGAGCATGATGTCATAGTATATTTGACGTCAATCTTTGTTTACCAATTTCATTGGCTTTGTTTCAGTGAAAAAAAAAAAAAAAAAAAAAAAAAATTTTTGCAAAAAAAAAAAAAAAAAAAAAAAACCTAACGCCTAAGTATAAGGGAATTTTATTATCATGGAACTAAACAATATTGATCACTGTCAGTCAAAATACTTTCAGACCGCTCTAACTCCAAATACGCATCCAGATCTTACCCAGCTTTCTTTTACAAACAGCATGAAAAGCAACGGTTATAAAACTTACGAGACAGAAAAATTGTCCTATTATCATACACCAGACTATACTACCGAACATAATCACCCTCACCATGTCCTCGCGTCTCATCACAACAGTCTAAAAACGAAGAGTCATCGCGTCACAAAGGCTGCCACTCAAGAGGCTAATGACAAACCTTTTAAATGTACGGTACCAGGTTGTATCAAGTCTTACAAGAATCCAAACGGTTTAAAGTACCATGCTGAACATGGACATCGGTCTGCTCTATCGGATACGGAAGAAAAGAAGCCGGCTATTAAACCTTATAGATGCAATTATCCTGAATGCGAAAAACGATACAAGAATCCAAATGGTTTAAAATACCACCTCGAACATGCACATGCACATCATGCCATAATTCATCGAGGATAAGATAGATTGTATTAGGGGGAAAAAGCAAGCAAGATTTGATTTATATATAATATATTTCGGTTGGGAATGATTGAACTGGATGTTGCGTAAATCCATATTTCATTAACTTCAATTGGATTATTCCTTTTTCCTTTATTTACTTACTGGTCTTTTAACATCACTTTAATTGATTGCATCCCATTTAGAATCATCAACATAATATGACTTTTTGGTCCTGCATTTTTATCATTTGTGTTGTCTCTCTCCATAGATTGGATTTCGCAAGTTCAATAAAAATTTTATAGGGACATTTGGAAATTGAGCAATGCAAGCCATTGCAATTTAATAATTCAATAATTCTTTAACCTATTTGTTTATCTGGTTTAAATATTTTTTTTCTTTTCTATATGTATCACGGAAAATTTTATTGGAATTAATTTATTATTCTTATCTTAATTCCTATTTCGTGAATCTGTATATTCCTTTCTTTTGCTGTTTTTACGGCATGTATATTTTTGTTTTTAGCTTTAATTTTTCCTTTTTTTTTTTAGTGATGTAAAAATTTAAGACCAGAAAATTTAGCTTCAAAATGATAGATGATACGGGAAAAAAAAAAAAAAAAAATTGGTTGAAAATTTCTGATTTATAGATCGTTGAAATTAATTTTTTGAAGGGTATAATTGATTTTAATAACAATGACAGAAAAAGAGAGGCCTTTCCCCTTTACACATTTTTTGAGAAAGATAAACTGTTTTATATATATAATTTTTTTTTTTATTAAAAATAGAAATTTTAGTCTATACCTTTCTAATTTTTTTTTTTATTTTTTTTTTGTTGTGGATAACGCGATTATTCTTTTTGAATCTGAAGGACATATAATTAATATTTAGAAATTGGGCGGATTTGTAGCAAATTCTGTGGGATATATTAAATTAATCAAGACCAATTAAAAAAAAAAAATGAAAAATATCAACTGATTTCTCTTTACAATTCCAAACTAAATCAACGTTAATATGCAATCCTACATCGAACGACATTTGAAAATAAACTAAGGAACATATTTAAAACGTGATAACGAAAAAGATGCATGATTTTAATTGGCCCAGATATTTATCGCGTCGGTTACGTTTATTTTTTAATTAATAAAAATTTGCTATTATTTATTATTTATTTATATATATTAAACAAATAATTAATTTCCAATTTTAAGTTATTTTATAATGATTATATACAATTGACGTCACGAATTTTTTTTGGAAGAAATACATTCTGCAGGTTAATAACCCAATTAAAGGATCCATTAAATAAGTAAAGCAACTTTTTAACATTTTAAGGATAAACTTTGGATGTATTTATTAGAAATCATAAATCTGTAATATTATTATTGTTTTGAATACATACACATATTTTAATGGTAGGTTGAAGTTTCAATTAATCTTATACTAATTTATTTTTCCATTTTTTAATTGAATTCTAATCTTTTAACTTTTATTTTTAGTATTATATAATACAAGTTAAGTCAAATAATTGTATTATTATTTAATTTTTAATTATTGCTAAATGATATAAATGTATTTTTTACTGTAAAAGTTAATAAATTATTTATTATATATATTTAATATAAATAAAAATAATTATGAAGAATATTAAAATTCTTTTACAAATAATAAATAAGTAATAATAAATTTTTATCATTTATACAGTTAAATTTTTTATATGCATTTTCTCTAAATATACATATTATATATTTTTTCTTTATATGCATAATTCTATTTAATCTCAAGCATTTAAAAATTATATAAAATTTTTTTATAAATATATATCTTCTTTAAATGCATATTTTTTCAATTATTACTAAGATTTTGAGAAAAATATATAGAGAAATTTGATTGTATAAAACCTTTACAATAAAAAAAAAAAAAAAACAGCTTAAAAAATAAAAAATAAATTAATATTAAATCTAAATATATATTTTGACCTAAAATTCATATCTGATAAATAAATATAAAATAGATTTTTTCTGACAAATTTTTCCTTTCTATTGTAAAGTTCCTAAAAATTTATTTTAAAATTTTATATATAATATATTTATTTAAACAAATTTTTTATAATTAAAGAAATAAATTTGCTATTCAAAAAACTTTTATTTAAAAATTAATTAAAAAATAAAAGATTTAAATTAAAATTAAATTTTATTTTATTATTCTTTTTTTTTAAAAAAAAAACTTTGCTTTTTAATAAAAATATCAAAAATATTATTTATTATTTATAATAATATTATCTTTATTAATTTATTATATAATTATTATTTTTATATAAATATTTTTTATTATAAAATAAAATTATATATTAATATATAAAATAAAATAAAAATTATTAAATTAAAATAATTAAATAAAATATATAAAAAAAATATTTAATAAAAGTTTTTAATATATTAATATTAATATTTTAAATCTAAATCATCTATAATGTTATTAGAAAATAGAAGTATTTTTATTTTAATCTAATAATTTTACATAGTAAATTATAAGTAATATTATTTTATACTTTAGCAATATAATTAATTATTTCTTTAATATTTAATTTATTTTTAAATAAAAAAACATTAAAATATATTTTATATAATATAAAACAAATATATTTAATATTAAAGTAAATTTATTCATTATACCGTATGATAAATCACCTCTAAATAAAATTATATAATATTAGTCAAAATTAAAACATATGAAATGTAACACAGAATGTGAATAAATTATTTTTTATATTAAATATATTTTATAATTTTTATAATTATAAAACTTTCTTTTATATTTAACTTAAAAACTATAAATTATTTATCTATTATTGTAAATATATTGTAGTATTTAGTAATAAATATATAAATTTAATGTTAGTAAAATGATATATTATTTTTTTTTTGATTTTTTTTTGATTTTATTTGATTTTTTTTCATAATTTAAATTATTTTATTAATATCTTTTATATTTTCTTCTTCATTTTATTATAATTTTTTAGAATTAAAATATGATTTAGTATTATTAATAAGTAATACAATTTTTTAATTAATTATATAGAATAATAATCAAGTTGATTAACTATTTAATAAATATATCAGATTTTATTTAAGCTTTTAAATTATCTTGATAATTTACTGATAAAATAAATTTTTTAATATTTTTAAAAAATTTGAAATTAAAAGTCTTACTAATTATAAGAGAATACAATTAAGTAAACTTGTAATATTTGTACAAAATAAATTAGTAATTTGTTTTTATTTTATAATTATTATTATAATATATATTTTATTAACAAAATTTATTATTTTTATATCTATTATAAAGATTAATTTTTTTTTTTTATATTTTGTAATATTTCTAATATTAAATATTTGATTAATTCTATTAAAAAAAGTTTAATTTTATTAATATTATCATTATAATTATTTTTTTATTTTATTTTTAAAAAATTAAAATGCATTATTAACTTCTTTTAAAAAATTTATTTTTAAAATTTATTTTTTTATTTCAATCTATATATTTATTATTAGTAAATATTAATTCTTTTTTAATATTTAAATTTTAACAAATTTTATTCCTTTTATTATAATATTAAATCAGTTTGCTATTATTGCTTATAAAATTTAAAATTTATAAAACTTTATTAAGTTATAAAATTTGAATAAGATATTGATAAAAATATATAAATTTTATAAATTAAAAAGAATTACTAATTATTTTTTTTATTATTTTCAAATTTATTAATAATAATTTTATTATTATTTAATTTTTATATTTAGTATTGAAAATAAAGTAATATTAACTAGAATTTTTAATTATATATTTTATTTCAGCATAAATTAATGAATTATTAATTAAATTATATTTTAATAAACATAATTATTTTATTAATAAATTATATAAATGTCAAATTAATATAATAAATTTTGACATTATTAAAATTAATTAGCATTAAAGTATATATATATTTACAAATTTTTTTAATTCAATACAAATATTATATAAAATTTATCAATCAATAATAATTTCATATTAAATAATTTTATAATTACATTAAATAATAATAATCAATAGTAATTTTTATTTTATTTTTTATATAAATTCTACATACTATATAATGCAAATATTAATACTAAATACTATTTAAGTAAATTTAAGCTTAATTTTAAATAATATTTAGAAATACTATATATGAAAAAAGGTATTAAAAATACTGTCAAAGTTAATTATAATAAAACTGTATATACTAAAATCTAATAATAATAAACTAAAATTTTTAAAATCATAATTTTTTTATTTATTTATATTAAATATAATAAATTTAATTATAAAATTTATATATTATATCTAAACTTACCCTAATTAACTATGATATATTAGTTATATATTGACTATACTAAAATATTATGCAATATAGATTATTTTTTTTGATAAATCAAACATGTCAAACTTCAAACTTAAGATTTTGTTTTTTTTATAAAAATATTATTAAACTATTTAACTAACTTAATATATTTTAAGATAAAATAAATTATTTCTTTTTTAATTAAAAAGGTCTTAACCTTTTTTTTTTGTAAGGATGATTTCTTAATATTAAAAATAAATAAATCTTATTGTTTAAATAAACTGAACTTAATAAATAATTAAAAACAATATTTTTTTAAAATACAAAAGAAAACATTTTTAATTAAGAAATAGTCTTAATAATTTTTTTTTTGGTAGAAATGTTAAATTTTTTTGAATAAATCAAATAGACAATATTTTATTAAAAGAAAATAGAAACTTTTTATTTTAATTAAAAAGCAGTCTTAATATTTTTTTGTTTCTTTTTTATAAGAATACTAGATTTCTTAGATAAATTGAACTTGACAAATAGCAAATATTTTTTTAAAAAGAAATATTTTGTTTTTAATTAAAAAACAGTTTTTAACATTTTTTTTTTCTTTTTATAGAAATGCTAAACTTTTTTGACAAATTGAACTTATACATTAAAGATAAAATAAAAAGGTAATTTTTTCTTTATATTTTAATAAAATATCAATTACAATTAGAACAATAAAAAATTATCATAAAAATAATAATTATATAATATACTATAATTAAAGCTCTGAATGGTTCAGATTAATCTAAAGATTTTTCAGATCAGTTTGGTTCAGATCAGTTTCAGATTGCATAAAAATTGATTTGAAAATTTTCAGTTTGGTTTGGATTTTTTTGGATTATAATTCTAATCCAAACTGAAAAAAATCTGAATTGATAATTTCAAATTAATCTGAAAGTTCTGTTCAATTATATGCGAAACTCTTGAAGGATCACAAAATTTGTGAATTCTCTAAGAGGACTGCAAAAATTTAGCAAAACTCTTAGAGAATCGCAATTTTTTGCAGTTTCTCTTCAAATTTCGCGAATCTCAAAAAGAAATTCACGATTTTTTGCGATTCTCCTAGAGTTTCGCATATAAATTGCAGATTCCTTATATAATCAAACTGTAATTTTGGATTAATCTGAAAATTCTAGTTCAGTTCAGATTTTTACCGGTCTGCGGTTCAGTTCGGATTTAGATTGGCATTTTTAAGATTAATAATCCAAACTGAACTAAACTGAAATTTTCAGTTCAGATACAGATTGGCATCTAATCCAGACTAAACTGAACTGTTCAGAGCTTTAACTATAATAATAAATAAATATATTGTATATAATATATATAAAATTATATTTATATATTATAATAATACATTATCATTTTATTGACTAAAGCTTATAATAAACAATTTATTATATAATATAAATGTTATATAATAAGCTCATTTTATAATGAATAAAAATCATTAAAATATTAGGTTTATTATAACCAGCTTTGATTATATTATACAAAAAAAAAATACAGTTGTCTTCTTTTATAATCACACCTTTTAGAACTAAAAATAAATGTATGATTATAATAAAAAGTGACTATATAGATAGATTTTTATATATTATTACTAAGTGATAGTTCTGAAAGAGTATGACTATAATTATAAAAGGGTTTTTTTATATAATATTAATAGGTATTAGTTTTATAAAATTTATGCTTATAATGAAAAATTTATATGATATAATTATATAAAAAATAACTATAAAAAGGATAATAATATTTTTTAAAATAAAATTATACTATTATATAATATAAATAATATGAATTTTGTGATCATAGTCTTATTATTTTAATTCTAACCTTTTTTTAACTTTAAACTTTATTTTTTCTTTTAGTTTTTTTTTATTTTAAACTATCAATTTTTTGATATTAATTGATATTTTTTATAATTAAAAAGTTGTATTTAGGAATTAAATATTTAAAATACATTTTAAATATGTAATTAAAAAATATATAAAAAAAAATTTGTAAAGTGATTAAAAATTATTTATAAATATATTCAGAAATAAAGTTTAGAGCTGTTAAACTATCTAGTTTAAAGTATATAAAAATGATGACACAGCTTATTATTCAAAATTTTCTATTGAATCATATGAAAATCTTTTATTATTTTAATATTCTGATTATATTAAGTATTTTTTAATATAAGACTTACAAATCATAAGGTTTAATGCAAACAGATTACTTTAATATTAACAATATTAAATACTGATTACTATTGCTATAATAGCTTTATAATTTTATTTATTATAATTACAATAATTACAATATTTAATAATAAAATAATAATAATAATAAATGAGATACTAATAGTAATTATATATCAAAAAAGCTAATATATACAAATCACCGAAAAGAATTCCAAGTCCCCATATTTTATAATATCTTTTTCAATTTCACGAATCATTTATGTGAATCGGAATAATATTATAATATTAAAAACTACAGGTTATTGAGGTTATTGATCAAATATACAAAATTTTTATATAATTACTGTTTTATTATTATTTTTATTTTATTTTTTTTTTTTAAAAAAAAAAAATTGATAATTTTCGCTTGTTTTATTAAACAATTATCCTATGTACAGTATAATATCAATCTATCTACTAGTCTCGACAAGAACGTAAACCTCATGGCGTGGTACATCAACTAGATAATAATAATAAAAATTTTAACATAACTCTCATCTATAGATTAGTTTTAATTGGAAAATTGATTTACCCATTGTTACTTCAGTATTTGTTTCATTAATTTCTTTTTCATTCGCAATATCTTCATGAGAAGCTTTTCTCATATTTTCTGTAATATTGTCCTTTTGTAAAGGACGTCGCTTGCGAGGTCGTCTGTAAAATAAACTCCGTTTCCTCCTTTTTGCTTTTAATAATAAAAAGTAATGATGTTAATGACATTTAAACATAATATTAAAAAACAATATATACTTACCACTGTTTGGTGATGAATTACGTTTCATATTGGTAAATGATGGTGTATGTTTTCCAATGGATGATGATGAAGTGCGCTTTCCGACAGACGATAATTTTCGTTTTTTAGATTCTACTTTTTCTTCTTTTACTTTGGTTTCAGAGTTAATTTCCCACCAGTTACCGGGTGCTCGTATGCGACGACCAGAAAATGTAACAGTTTCTCCATCTCCTAAAGAATCAACACTTAAATCTAGATTCGTTTCAATTTTTTGCTCATTCTTTATAGGACTAGGACTCGAATCGACATTCAATTCGGTTCTTTGCTCATGTTTTAAAAGATTCAAACTTAAATCGACGTTTAATTCGGTATCCTGTTCATTTTTTAAACTCGAATCGAAGTTCGATTCAGTTTCCAGCCCATCTTTTAAATTACTAATATTTGAATCGACGTTAAATTCGGTTTCCTGCTCATTACTTAAAGGACCAATTTTTTCACCTTGAACAGAAGGTTCTAATTCAGCAAGCAGAAGTTCTCGCCAATCCTCTGGAAAACCATCCTCAAACGCTTTAATCAGTCCTTCCGAGAAACCTATTTTAAATATTATTAATTATAATTATGTAATATAAAATATTTCTTATAAGTAAGAAATATTTACCATCCGCCTTCATTTTTTTAGCCGATAGCTTCCCAATAAGTGTATAAGACTTGTCTTTTGCGGTTTGTATAAGCTTATTATTCTCTCTTGCAATTACAACAGCACTATGCCATTTCTTTAAAAAAAAAAAAAAAAATGGATAAGATTAACTATACTCAAATGATCTTTTACACCCTTTATCTTACATTACGTGTTCCTTTTATAATTCCAGACAAGACCACCCATAAATTAATTCTCTCTGATACCTAATGAAATAAATATTTCTGAATATTTTGAAATTATTTATATAGGATGGATTAAAATAAAATATATACTTCTGGAACAAATATATCATTAATAGATACGACTTTTAGGTGCCATTTGATAAGCTCTAAATAATTTCCATTTTCAGGTGCATGTTCTATTTGATCACTTTGGCTTTCTCGTATTATTTGTTTGCCTTTATCAAAGTTTTGCGGATAATTTGTTTGTTTGAAATCTCTGTCGTTGAACGAGACCATTTTAACCTCTTCATCTTGACAAGTTGAATCATTATTGTCATTATTTAAATTTTCCACCCTGGAAGTTGGAGTATCGTCAACAAATATAAGACGATTCGCATTAATTCCGTTTGAAAAAGAACCAAGAGCATAATGTAACTGAGGAGAACTTCCTCGCACAGGCAATGGTCTAATTGGTGATTTCAGTTGATTTTCCATCTTTTCATGTGAATTCCCGGTAGTAGAAGGTGAATTAGGTTGAAAGCTATTAAAATTAAGTTTGTTTAAAAATAATAATTGCTCAGCCCTTTGATGTAAAGACAAATTATAGTTTACTGGTGTTGATCCAAGTGAGGGGGTCCTAAAAGCGGAATTCCCAGATCTATTTAACAAATGACTGGGAGTTGGAGAACGTAAAGCAGCCTCGTTTTGATTTTTAAAGATATCAAATAAGGCATCCTTGGAGATCGGACGCTTTTCGCCCATATGCGAGTATTTAACAGAATATTTAACACAGTAAAGAAAGTAATTTGTGCTTTCAAACTGATGGTAGTTTGATCGCAATTCATCAATTACACTATTTACGTAACATCAAACATACGCGACAACTAGGTAAGACGGATGAGTAGGATCGACCATTTGTGTAATGTATGACATAAAAAACAAAAATCCGTTGATGTTACAAACTTTTTATCAGGGATTGAATTTATAATACTATATTAAGCACTGACTATAGAAGACATTTTTAATAACTGTTTAACGCGAGTTCAGCGAGTTTTTGCAATAAAAGATATTTAACGCGTGATTTTCTCTTGCTTATATTTGAATTTAAAATGTCATGATAAACAGTGTAGTTGTTTCACAAATCATACATAATACACTTCTTTTTTTTATGTCATACACTACACAAATGGTCAATCCTTACACCACTAGTTTCTGTACAACTACCCCAACACTTTGACCGTAAATATCCGGGTGACAAATAGGTGACAAATAGAATTTTTTACACTGAAAAATTTCACGATTCCTGGAATACATAGTAAAACTGAGGGAGTGATATGGTGACAATTTATATATGGTCACGTGGTGTAAAAAAGGGAATCATACGGGCATCCTTAACCTAGGGCGGGGGTGTAAACCTTTATCCTAAACTACAACTGTATATGTCACGTGATTTTTACTTTAAAATTATTTATTTATACATAGGATTAGACGATAAGGGTCTACACCCCCTCCCGAGATTAAGGATATGCGACGCGATAATCACGTGAAATAGCAATATTAAATTATCTTACTGTGAAATGCATGGTATTTTTAATGTGAATAGGAGTTTTAATGTGAACGAAAGAAGTATATATATATTATTGTCATAATGGTGTTGATATTGAGGGAATAATTCTTGTGTTCAGTGATAATATTACTATTGATTGTAAAATTTTAAACCAAGCAAAAGCTTTTGAAATCGTCAGATTTGCTAGAAAAAATTTGAGATCAGGTAAATAAAAAGGGCAGTATCATTTAATATTTTATTATAAATATTACATAATAGGTATTTTTTTTAATATATGGTTATTATTGACATTACTGTTAGTGATAATTAAACTAAATGATTTTAATGCTGAAAGCAAAGCAGCTTACCAATCTTTGAATTTAAAGTATTATTGTAAGGCTAATCTGAAAGAGGTAACTGAATTAACCATTTATTTTGTTAAAGTAAATGAAAGCAAGTTAAAAAATTATTTCTAATAAATCCTTGTCATTAATGAATTTAATAAAGTTTGATAGTTTTGCCTATGTTTAAGCTGAATAAAAATATATGATGTTATAAAATAGCAAGGAATGGATTATAGTTGCTAGCGTACTTTTCATTAAATATAAATTTGATCTAAAAGTTTTCTGTAATATTTCATGATCTGGTCATAAAATTTGTAATCAAAAAATGTCAATTATATCTAATATAAGATCTGTGAAAGAAAAATTAAATTAAAGATAACTTTAAATTATTTATTAGTAGAAAATTTTCTTTTTATTGTTAATGTAACAGCAGATATTTCATTTTCACTTGTTATCTTATAAAGGTTATATGAAAGGAGGAAGATCCAGATATTAAAATATTAGTAAATAATTTTAGATTTATTAGTTTAATCCATTCTTCATTTATGAGTAAGTTAAAAATGTACAAGCATTATAATTAATACTGAAATTAAAAAAACTTATTTGTTCTAGTTGACAAGGATACTGAGCTGATAGAAATTGTCTGCAATTGTTAAAATTAATTCAAGTTCATCTTTAAATTTATTGATCTATAGTATATTGTCTATATAAGTAAGAGTAGACATCTGTATTAATAAAAAACTAGTTGTAATGTAATTAATATTAGGATACCATTTAGCTGATAAGTTATAGCCTAAAAATGTATTTGAATATAGTATAATAAAGAATCATAATAGATACATCAAAATATAGATAAAATAATTTCACTTTAATATATATCAGATAATAGTTAGTCTTATTATGAGCTATAAAGATTTGATTAAAATAATTCAAAAAGAGTAAATAACAAATTGAAAGAAAGAATAAGAAAGTTTTAAATGATTTAGAGCATAAATTAATATGGCAACATTAACTTTATTATAAGCTTTTGATATATCTTAAAAAAAGATCTAAGGTTATTTATTTTTATGAAATAGTCTATAATTGGATTTACTTCTAATATCTTTAGATTGTTAGATAGGTAATAGCTTATTAACTTTTTATTATTTCTTTAAAAGAAAAGAGATTTAGATACATTAATCGAAGCCTTATAATTTAAAATTAGATAGGTTGATAACTTTAGTATAAGTGTTATATTTAACGATCTTGCAAATCAAAATAATTCTTATAATAATTTTATAATTGATAATCTAAACTTAGTAAATTAAATACAATTTAGCATTAATATCAGTTTAGATCAAACATTTCCTATTAAGAAAGAAAATTTTGCTATTTTAGTGACATCTATAGATTTTTTGTCTTAAAAAAAAATAGCATATTGAAGATTTTTGTAATTAACATGTGGCTTAAGGATCATCTAAATAATTACTTCAATTACTTTACTGATAAAAATGAGATGACATCCATTAATATTAAAAGGGAGATTGATTAATTTCAATAAAAATGCAGAATTTTTCTGACATCTTCAACTATTATAGTATAAGAATGAACTTAACAAGATCTTTAAGGATAAAATAACTATTAAGTTTATTTAAAATAATTATATCAGTATTATATTTATATATAAGAATAGCTTATTGTTAAAGATTTTTTTATTGATATGATTTAATGAGAAATCTTTTCAAAAAAGAAAAAGTCAATCTGAAAATTGATTCAGAAATTGAAATTAGAATATCAATAAGACAGATTGACAACTTAGGAATATATTTAACAATTAGTTTTACTGTAAGAGGTAAAATGTAATATTATTTAAATAAGATAATCTAAGTGCAATTGCATTATTTACTTCTACATGTGAAGTAAAACCAATTTTAATAATTTTTTTATTAAATCTTCAAAGTGATTGCAAATTGATACATCAATGAAAATGAGTAATGTGATGTAAAAATATCATACATCTTGTTTTGTTTATCTCTATTGGATTTTTTAAGGAAAATTTTTATGCAATACAATAAGCAAAATAGATTGGGATTTCTGTTTCATATTTTATATAGATGTCACTTTTGTTATTATATTTGTCATTAAGACCATTTTTAGAAGCATCAAAGGCCTGATCTTTATTTAATAAAACTTTTCTGATATTACCAGTAATTTCAGAACTTTTACCTTTGTCTAAAGGTGAAGTAAGAGAAGTTTTAACTTCCATATCTTCAATAGAGTGGTTGGAAGAATTTCCATTAGCAGTTGAGCCTTCTGTTTATTATGGTGTTTCAAGAAACTGTTTTTTTGAAAGGCATTGTTATTGGTCATTCTCCAATGAAGAAGAGTAAGTTTTATTTGCCTTATTGCTATTATTTCATGTGGTTTCTTTCCAGTCATTGTTTTGGTGATCAACAGAAAAAGTTTTTTTTATTTTTTTATCTAATAAAAAATAATATTAAGAGCATACATAAACAAACATAATTATCCCATATTAGTTAATTATGTTTTATTAGTTAATTTAATGGTCAAATTCTATCCAATTGAATTTCAAAATGTAAATTGAAACTTTGAGTTTATAGCAGATGCATGATATTATTAGTTTTGATATACACTTTACTTATTTAAATTGATAAATATTATAAATATTATAACTTGTTTCTAAAAAGCAAATGGAATTTTAATAATCAATCAAAGATTGCGATTAAACTACTTTTACAAAAAATTAATAATTAAAAAAAAAGTCATATCGCGAATAAACTATGTTACAACATTTAATGACCATGACCATCATCTTCTCCACCTCTTTGTTCCGGTTCAACCTATATGTAATTTAAGAAATGTGAATAATGTGAGTTAATAAAATAAATAACTGATAAATAATTAATTAAAAAATAACTAACCTTTATCATGTCATCAATCCTAAGAATAGATATGGCCGCTTCAGTAGCAGACTTTAGTGATTTGATTTTCGACATAGCTGGTTCTAATACGCCAGCTTTCAAATTATCTCTAATTTCACCCTTAAGAAGTTCAAGACCATAATGTTTTAGATTTTTTTTTGGATCATCTGGTGTAGCGTTTTGGGACGCATTATGATATGCTCTTAATTTTGCAACTAAGTCAGTCGAATCCTTTGCAGCATTTACAGCAAGTGTTTTTGGTATTACAAGAAGTGAATTTGCGAATTCAGCTATGGCAAGCTGCTCTCGTGATCCCTAAAATAAATATTCACACAATTAAAGTTACCTCTAAATAATATAATATTATTAATTTAAAAAAAAATATATAAAATACCAAAGTTGTTGCAAAAGTTTCCAAATAAATGCTCAACGCTGTCTCAACTGCACCACCACCTGGAACAACAGCACCACTTTCCAGAGTTCTTTTCACGACGGACAATGAATCATGTAAAGCCCTTTCCATTTCATCCAACATGTAATCATTGGCACCACGTAAAATGATAGAAGATGAATTTTGAGCTTTAGTACCTTTAATAAGAATACACTCATCATCAGAAATACGTTCTTGAACAACTTCGTCTGCAGTACCAAGATATGATGGTTCAAATGTTTCCTCTCCCTCAAGATTAGCAAGTGTGGAAATAAGCGTGGCTTTTATTGGGTAGAAATAAACATTAGTTTAATTCATATTGAATAAAATGGCATATATTTAATAATCACCTCCAGTAGCTTTTGCGATTCTTCTTAAATCTTCTTTTTTGCAGCGACGAACAGCCATAGCTCCACTTTCTACGAATAATTTTAAACAGAGGTCATCAATACCCTTTGTTGTAAGAATAACATTGGCCCCCGCAGAAATAATTTTTTGAACACGTTCAATAGTGATGGTAGCTTCACTATAATAATCAAATAAAAATAAGTCATATGATCAAACTGTTATTCGACAAAGTATTTCGGTTAATTACCGTTTACGAATATCTTCTAATTTTTCTGGATCGTCAACGGTGATATGAACACCCAAATGCATCCTTGCCTTCTGAAGGTTCATATCTAGACACGCTACTTTAGCATTCGTGATCTTTGTTTTCATAGCTAAAATTTTGCACAATATTATTATTATTATATTTTCGATAAAATGGGAATATAAAAATAACCTTTTTATGCTAGTTAAAGTTACAAACATACCTTGGGATGCAACAGTACAATTCAGAGCATACCCTTTAACAATAATGGATTCTCGAGTACTTTTACCATGAGCCTTGAGAACATTAACAGCTTTAACAGGGTATTTAACTTCGCCACGAGAATTTGTAGATTTAACAGCAAGAATTGCATCCACGACAATATTTGCAAAAAACTCATCGTCACTTGATATGATACAAATATAAAAAGTTAAAAGGTTGTTACATGGAATTAAATAATACGATTTTCCGGCTAAATAAAACAACTTACGATCCAATGATCTTACTAGCCATACTTGTCTTTGCAACATTTACAAGACAATCCCGTCCCAACGTATCAACCTTGGTAGTCAGATTATCGGCAATATATTTACATGCTTCTTTACTTGCAAACCGATAACCAGTAATAATTGTGGTTGGATGAATTTTATTCTTTACGAGTTCATTTGCACGGCGAAGAAGTTCTGCAGCTATTATAACGACCGACGTTGTCCCATCACCAACTTCTTTGTCCTGTTGCTGAGCCAGCTCTACAAGAACACGTCCAGCAGGGTGTTCAACTTCAAGCAAATTGAGAATTGTTGCTCCATCATTTGATATTGTAACATCCTAAATTTTCTAAATAAGTAAATGAATCCATTTCAAAAATCCAATATGTAGGTAATTAATACATACCCCAATATCATCGACTAACATTTTGTCCAGGCCTACAGGACCAAGAGAGCTTTTCACAATATTCGCAATGGACATAACAGCAAGTACTAGTTAAAGCAATAAAAGGAAAAGTAAATTTTATTTATAAAGTTTGTCCTTCCAAAAGTTTTGAAAGACATACCATTCTGGTTTCGTACTTCGCTTCCGGAAATTCTCTCCCCACCAAGGAAAAGGGATTGGTTACGATCGCGTTGATACATAGTTTAGATGCGATTTAAAAAAACGATGTCGAAAAAAAAAAAAAAAAGTGATTTCCATAAAAATATCACAAATCACGTGACACTTTATCATTCGCGTCACGCCGATCCGGTGACATATAAGGAGTCAAATGCAGGGGGTACAATTAAGCATACTCATTTGTAATAAAAATTAAATTACAATTACAATTACAATTTTCAAGAAAAGGAAGAAGCAAGATTATTCACGTAAATATACAGAAGCGAGTTGTTCTGTCCATCTGACTATTGAAGGATCAATTGGTGTACCCTCTGAAGATTCGAACATAGGAAAAATTTCAAATCCTTATAACATTGGTATTGTAGAAAGAAAGGGGATTAAGTTCAAAATCTTTAAAGTGATGGATTCATCACATCAAATCCAACAAGTGGATAATTACTGTAGTCACGTGAGACTGTTCGTGTTAAACTACATGAGAGTATGCATCGGAATTATGCATTCTGAGATTGATTTATTAGAACTCGTGTAATTTTAATTAGGGTAAATTAGTGGACCCAAATTTAATGTGACATACTAACTGTATCAAGGAAATTTTAAATGATTCGTGTTTTCTTATGATTAGTGCGTTTAGATTTAGGAGAATGGATTATCCGCGTTATCATTCCCTGAAAAGCTTCATCACCACCATCTGTCCACAAAAATCCTCTATAGAATTCGAACTTTCGGATAACAGACGCTAATTTATATGTTTGTATTCTGTATTCTCTACCAACCCATATTTAAAAATCCGATTATAGTTTCGTGAACATTTTCAAGTTTTCGGAAGAGAAAATTTCAATACTTGTATTTAAGTTGAAATTCGTATGTGATAACTTGATGTATTGTAAATTACAAAAGTTAGTAATATGCAATAATAATAGCGATAATAACGTGCTCAAAACTTACAATATAACTGCATTCCATACAATCTAACCATTCTAATATCAGAACCTTGCAAATCGATTAATTAATGTTTTTAGCATCTTAATTATTTTCAGTAGAACTCCGACAATCGACTTCTGTGACCGAGAATTCTTCATCATCATTATAGCATCGATCTGAGGATTGCGATAATTCGACACTCGACATTTTTCCTCATATTTTGGGCACCAGACCTTTTTATTTTTCATGAAAAATTTGTTTAGAAGAGCCGTCAAAACCATTACCATGAACGACCCTTCGGATATATCCTCTAAAAGCACGTTAGTAAATAATACTCAATAATTTAATATGTTATTTGAGTATATAATTGAATAATGCTTTATCTTTTATTTCGATTTGAAGTAATATATATTTCTAATAGTGTATTCATTAAAGGTTCAATGGTCAAACATAAATTTTTCACTGTATCACAATAACCATTTTATTTCATGAATTTGTCAGATTTTCGAAATAGGATGATCTAAAATAGTTTGATATGGTCGCAATATCTCTTGCCTTTTACTTGAAGAACTAAAAAAAAACATATTTGTGTTTCTGCTGAATTACATATCTATAAGCAATACCAATGTGTAGTAAATAAATTTAAATATGATTCCATCAGATGCAGATGTTATTCCATTATCGTCATTATGACATTAAAAATTTGATTTGCATCTTTATTTTGTAACTGAATAAGCTTGATATTTAATTTTTATCACACTTTGAATAAAATATTTAACATATATAATCATGTGAGATTCGCATGCTATATCATTTTCTCCAGTATCGCCATAAAAAATTTCACTACCACGTGATCATAGAAAAATATTCGTCACACTACATCACACCCTTCCTTTCTTTCATTTTTATAAGTATTATGGGAACAGTTTTTTTACACTACGCAAAATCATATTCATCACTCCCTTATTCATCACAAGAGAGCCACACTTAATTCATGACGACACACTTAATGCTGTAATGCAGGCTAAGATATCACGTGATAGTGAATTTTTTATGGCAATACTGGGGTAGTTATGCTATATCTGTATTTTTTATCTATCATTATTCCAATAGATAGTGATTTACTTGTGGGTGTATTATCCAGATATCTGTATAGATATATAGATATCTGGATAAGAAATTTTAGTGATAGATTCAAAATTATGAATAAGTAGATATCTATGAATATCCACAGATATCTATAGTTTATAACTATAAAATACTGAATAATAATTAGGAATGTTAATGGTTTAATTAGTCTGATTTTTATCAGTTTGAGGGTAAAGTCGAACTGTAAACTGATTTATAAATCATTTTGAAATTAGAATTTAGATTGAAAATTCAGATCTGAATTTATATATTAATATATTATATAAAAATCTTAAAAGTTGAAAATTAAAAAAAATTATATAATTGTGTGAAAGAAAGTGATACTGCATATTAATTTCAAAATATAAAAAATAAATTTGACAAATTTTTTTACAAAATAGATAAGCTACCACTAAATTATTTAATAACATTACTGTACATATTGAATTTGTATTTTACAGTTATATAATACAATATATTAAACATTTTTTAAATTAGATATAAAGAACAAGAAAATCATGTTAATTTTTAACTTGTATAATATGTTCTATCCTTATTGAAGTTCTAATCAGTTTGGTTAACATTTCTAGTATTAATCTTAGACATAAGTATAATTGATCTATAAAACATATAAAATAAATAGATGTTAATTAAAGAAATTATTTTATTATTTTATTTGTATTATTACTTTTTATTAATAATATCCAATAATAATGTAGAAATACTATTATCATTACAATTAGAAAATTATAAAGAAACTGAAGCAAATGGTTCAAAAAGACTAAGACAAAACATATACAATTTGTCAAAACAAAAAAACAAAATCCAAATATGCCTATAATTGAGTTAGTTGAATCTAATTCTGATACAAATATTCAATAAAAAACTAGTTTAAATTTACAAAATATAAAAAAATTTGACTTAAATAAAATATCTAGCCAATTAGTTTTGATTTCAAATGCTAAACTACAAGGACAAAGTTGGATATAGGGATATTTTAATCAATATAAATCAACTATGCAATACAAAAAAATTGTAAAATATTTAGTTTAAGTTCAATAAAAAAATAGCATAAAAATATGTAGTCATTTTATGGGAAGTGATAATTTTATTATAACTTTATTCTTCATCTTTTTACATATTGAATTACTAAAAAAAAATTACAAAAGAAATATGAATGAAATAAAAAAAACTAACAATTACAATCTCAGATAGATAAAATAATGAGAGCAATTACTACAAATGATTCAGAAATTAAGAACTATCATGATTGAAAGTTTGTTAAAATATTAATTAAAGATAATCAGCCTATTAACATATGTTATAATAAAGGATTTGTTGAATTTATTCATGAATTTTATCCAAATTATCAAATTTTATGTAATAAGATAATTCAAAAACTAATATCTAAATTGAATAATTAAATTAAAGAAGTTCTAGTATCAAAGCTTAATGAGCATATTATTTCTTGTTCTATAATAATAGATTTATAGATAGCTCAGAGTAGAAGTGAATATATTGGTATTACATATACCTTTATTGATAATGATTTTAATCTTCATAAAGCAATTTTAGCAGTTTAATATATACTTTACTCTTATACTAGTAATAATATTTATAATGTATTATATAAAATTATTTTAATTAGAATTTAAATAGTAAAGTTTTTGCAGTTATCACAGATAATGACTCTAATATGGTTTGAGTTGGAAAATTAATGAATGAATTTATAGACTTCTTGTATTGCACATATTTTACAGTTAATTATGGGAAAAGGATTATTACCAACTAAAATTCTGATTACACAAGCAAAATGATTAATTAATTTTTTACAATACTGAAGTAGACTAAAAAACTAATAGAAATTCAAAGAACTTACTGTACTAATATTGAGGTATTAAATGTTCTTTAATTTTAAAATTTAAATTTATTTAAATTAATATAAATTATTTATTAAAAATACATGAGCAATAATATGTAATTAATAATAATTAATTGTATATATATATGCTAGATTATTAATATTTTAAATTTTATTATTGAATTTAAAAAATAATAATGAATACTTTCACATTATTGCATATATAAAAATATATTAAAATTCCAGTTATCTTGCATGAAAGTATCTAATAAAATTAAAGATCTCATTAGTATAATAGTATTTATTATGATAGTTAATCCTGATCCTACAATATGACAAGATAAAAAATAATTAAAACAAATAAATCTTATAGAAGATGAATAGAAAGTAATAGATAAATTAATTATTATTTTACAGGATTTTGCCGAAACAATTGAATATTTAGATAGAAATAAATATACAACAATTAGTCTGATATATAGTGTATTAGTAATAATTAGTAAAAAAATAATACCTGATAATTTTGATATGAAGGTTATAGATTTAACAAATTTAAATACAGCCTTTGATAATAATATTAATTATAATGATGTATCTAAGAATAAGCCTATTACTGATCAACTTAAAAGTAGAAAAATTTGTATTAATACTTTACAAGATTATGCCAATCTCAAAAATTGTGTTAAAGCAGTATTATATCAATCTATTAATCATTATTAG